GTTTTTTTCTATTTCATTTACAGTGGTCTTATAATTATGCACCATAATAAACCACGAAATTTCAGAAATCAATGAAGAATAATTGATAAAATCTTGAATATTTCCCTACTGTATACATATGCCTCAATACCCTTAATTTCAAAGAATTAGCTCGATCTGACTTTTCTAAGTGCTAAAACTAGTGGTATTATAATTATACATCAGACTGTAATATCGAAAGACTTATTGCATGAATACATAGTAGAAGTCTCGTCATACATTTTACGCCTGATAATTTTTCTTGTATTCCTATTTCATAGACAACAGGTTTGAGACAATTTTCAATGTAATAGTTGTGATCGATAGTCTTGCCTTTATCAACTTTATATATAAGAATAGGACCATCTGATTTAAGGAATAAACAAAACAATGTTTTGAGTTCAGATCTATTTCGACGAATAATGGTCTTTGCTGGTTCATTTCCACGAATCCATGTAGCATTACTGAACTTTCCACCGATATGCCCATGATAAATCTATTTCTCATCATCAGTAATGATATCAGATAATCTCCATTCTTCATTCTGAAATTTTGCTAGATTTTGATGACAAATTCAGAGTTGTTATTGTTTTTTTTTGACCGCTGAGTTCATGAGTGACCCAACGTGATGTATCTTTCCTCATCTTTAAACAGGCATGAATGATTCGTTCTATCGTATTATGAAAGAGAGAAGTCTTAGCTATGATATCATCATACGTTGAATGTGGATCATCTTCGATAATTTGTCGAACATATTCGATATTTTCATCTGTAAGTACCGAAATCGGACGATCAAGCCAAAAGTCATCATTGACATCCTCTCTCCTTTAACCAAAACGTTTTACCCATTTTGCAGCAGTTCAGTGTGCTGGAATATTAGGTCCCAACGCTATTGTAAGTTCTTCGCAAATTGTTTTTGCATCTATTTCAAGAATAGACCCAGTTTTGATATAATATCGATTAAATTCATCAGTTATGTTTATAATGTTTTTTAAAAATTTCAAACAAGATTTCATCACAGGTTCAGGATGAGTTTGATATTTGATACAAAGCATCGTTCGAAAATATGAATTTATTTACACGAAAAAGATAAGTGAATCGAATGAAATAACTCAATAAATGATTTCGCACTGTATATATACACTAACATGTTAGATCTAAGTGCATATGACGTCAGAAAATGTTACGTAAGAGAGGAAAGAAAGCGTGCGAAACTCAGAAATATTCTCACACCCTGAACGAAAAATGTTCACATATTCACTATATTATAGACTTTATCTAAAAGACTGTTAGAGTTATAGACGAGACATTTTACTATGCATTCATGCAATGAATCTTTTTATATTAGATATTTTATAAAAATTTAAACATCGTTCTACGAACTTTTGGCCAGATCTAGTAAATGTTAATGAATCCAAATAAAAGTTTCATCATATATCGAAATTAATGTACCAATTGTTGGATCTGATCGAAGAGTAGACTTGATAAATATAAGATAAATTTGTTCACAATTTATAAATGGATACGACATATTTCTAGTACCATTGGCACAACATTTTTAGTAGATACGACAGCTATGAGTAATATATCACATGAGTTGAATCTAATGATCTACTGGCTGATGTGAGTGAATCACCACCATTTCTAAACACAATCCACCAATGCACTTGTTGAGACTATTTTGGAAATGGGTCATTTAAAAGTCTAATTACACAGAAAAATTAGGCGAAGCTTATAACGGTTTTATATAATGTTTCCATTCTGGTTACTTTTTATTTCGTAATTATCCTGTTACTATTAATTAACGACATCATCGCTACATCCATTGACATCTTCACATGTTTCAGTAACTTCATGACATTTCTATGCCTACCCTCCATTATGGAAACAACATATAGTGTCATCTATTCATTTTCCTAAAACTGGCTAGCATAATATTTATCGGACATTGATACTCACATTACACTGATTCTAAATATATATATAAATTTTAATGTTTCGTTCGTTTCCCAAAAAAAATTGTTACACCGTGCATTTAGAAATAACCAGTGAAAGATAAGCGCATTCGTTTCATCAGTCAGTTGATCATAACTCATTTGTATTGTGTTGTATTTTACTTTAGATATAGGAGAGAACATTACAGAAAAGATATTGATGTGACAAAGTAACCAATAAAATGAATAGAATGGATAAAATAAAATAAATAAAAAAATATGACACGATATAGATAGCTATGACAAATAGATGACAGTAGAAACCGTTGAAAGGAAGAGATAATTGAAAGTCAGAATCGGATTTTTAGTACAAAGATATCTATAAATTAGTGGAGGTGCTTAAGTTATATATATGAAGACAATTTTTAATATAAAAAGTCTTACTGTTACTTGAGCAGTATTTTTTTAAGATGTTTTATATTGGAAAAATCATATTCAAACTGTTCCATGTGCTTCTTAAAAGAGTCGCCACAACACCATTTCAATTGTTATTCATGTTTGAATAGCTGTTTCTAGAATAAATTGATTCTCTAAAATATAGGTATGCTTCAAAAAAACTTTCACTAGCAAAGCCTCATTAAAGAGAACTTTGCTTGTTCCGCGAATAAATTTGTTCAGTACCTATTAAAGTTTCTCGAGAGTTAAATAGTTACATATACCAATGTTATACGTTTTTGTTCCATTTGTACTTCTTGTTCAAAATAATAATTGAATTGAATTCATAAAAGTTTTTTTTATGAATTTTCCGATGGTTGATCATTTTTTTAATTTTTTTAAAACATGATAAACTATTGAAAGAGTTGGATATTTTGAACCTGATAGTAATATTGTTGCTCGATAAAATGGATATAGAACTGATTTCAATGCTGATACGTATAGCAGATCAAGAGGAGAAAACGATAATTTTTGAAGTTTACGATATTGTTTTTTTTAAACCAATTTCACTACTTGGTGATAATGTAATATCAATAATGATTGAACTAATTGCAACAAAATCTGATATCATAATATATGTGCTGTTCCATCTAATACGAAAATATAAAACGATGTCTCTTAGTTTGACGAAATTTCTACGTTGTTCTTCAGCACGACGTTTTATTTGAAAATTTTCAATCGACTTTGCCAACGAACATATCGATCAAGAACAATTCAGATACTGTTCTGATGATAATTTGTTCGTTATTTTGACATTGGTTGTTTCCATCAACTTGTAATGAAACTCGTTATTCATTCTGCTTCATTTTAACC